ATATAAAGTAGCATTTTTAAAATCCATGCTAAATTTTTGAATAACGGCAAGACTGTTCGAGAATTTTGGAAATATTTTAGCATAAAAACTGCTGTGTCTCAAGATTACGTGAGGATGTGTTTCCTGATGCTTTAACCCTTTGACGCATGTGATATTATTTTTATAATTTTTTTAACTAAAAACTCTAGAAAATGAAAATTATGATCCTAGAGACAAATAATATATGAATTAAATATAATCTACTCTTGCCCATTGTTCTGTGGGTGGTGGTCGCATGGTGAAACCACCGCGTGTCTAGGACTTTGAAACTTACTGATGTAGTAGGGAAAAAAAACTTACCATTTTCCGCGCGCATTTCCAATAAATGACAAAATTTACGGATTTTTAAAAAATGTATGTAAGAATTGCATTATACAGTCAAAAGTCGTTAATTCGGACACCCATAATCCGGAATGATCTATAATCCGGACCTCAAAGCTAAAATCTTTCTGCGCATGCGCCACGTTGAAGCACGCGCAGAATACGTTTTCGCATACGCGTTTAATGTATAACGGACGGTATAAGCTAAAATTATGTAATTATCTATTTCAGTTAATGTTGATGATTGCGTCGTTCCTTAATCTTCGAATTGGATCCGGCCTTATTATTTTTTGCAGACTGTAAGAGCAATTTATAAAAAGTAAGCTTGAACTCGATTATGTCAAATAGAATTTCCGATGCTGGAGCTCCCAAAGGATCTACAAAACGAAAGTATGTTTCGATGTCCATCAAACAAAAAGTGGAATTGCTACAAAAAATGGATAAAGACATATCCTTTGTTTATCTAACTGTTCCGAAATCTGTTTATCAATTTCACGCTGCTCTGCGAGAGGGGGGGGGGACATCGCGGTGTGCAATGAACTGGAAATTGATCTGTCAACACTATTGTTATCTTCAGGGCAGATGTTTTTATTTTATTCGGCTTATAATTCCTTACTAAATGTAGTATTTTATCTCGATGTACTCCGTCTTTGATATTATTTAAATCAAATTCCTCGTCATTATAAATATCACGAATACAAATCAAATAGTTTTCTGGTTGCAACTTTCTAATTTCGGCTATGCATAATATATGCTTTACGCATGCGCGCATTGAAAGAAATGTTTAATAAAGTAAACAAATAAATATTAAGCTTCTTTTTTTTGTTAATTTTGATACCCTTTAGATCATAATTACTCATTATTTTATAAATTACGGTTTCATATTTTTAAATTTATAATTTCTGCATGCCATCTTACCAGATTTAAACTGATGATCTATAATTCGGAATCGCCGAAGTCCCGACGATCTGGATTAAAGCTTTTGACTGTATATAATTTTTTTTACATTATTTACAAAGTAAACATCAGAAAAACTAAAAAATAAACATTTATGTAATTTTTTCTATAGCAGTGAAATGTAAGTCCTACATATAAGGACATTTGGATAATGGATTAAAAAATCAATAAAATAAGGATAAAAAAGACTCATGCTTTTTTTTATTTCAAAGAACAAATTTCTTTGGACACTTTCAAAGCATGTTTTGTCTCTTTGGTACATGCATAGACCCACATTGCACGTTTCGCAATACATCTTGTTCTATGAGGTGAGGTTTCTTCTTGTGCTACAAATGTACAACTGCTGATCTAAATTTCACTGTATATGTCCAGTATTATTTAGTTTCTTCATCTGGCACATGAAATTTGTGGTTTTTATGTTAATGGAAGGGCCGGTCTTTTTGGCTTGTACGGATCGTTCGTTTCCCTTCGTACTATTTTATTCATATTTCGTCCTAAAATATTCAGAAAATATTTTTAATTTAAATAAAACTTTAATGCATTTCTATTTTTAATTATAGCAAAGTATATTTACATTAAATTTAAACTACAGGACCAAGTAATTTATAAAATCACAATACTAGTTGGGAAGCAAGTGTGTTGAGGTTAGAGATAAAACTCTGGAAAAGAAAGACTTCTTCACTGGGCATGGAAAGACTGGCCTGGGCCTGTTCACGGGCATGTATTGTTTAGTAATAAAATAACTCTATGGTTTCAAAGCCCCTTATCTATATCCGGGTAAAAATAAACATTCCTATTTGGAAAGCAACCAAACACCATTGTGAAGAGCAGTGGTTTCAAAGCGACCACCGAGCCTCTAGAGGATTGTAAGCATTGTGACACAATTTCTGGCCAGTGGCCGTGCCTTGAAACACATAGCAATGCCATACATATAGAGGTTTTTTTTTTTATATAGGCAGTTTAATTACTGCAATTTTTTATTGTTTATGATAGAAATCTGATGTGCGTGACTAACTTTTGAAATTTAAAGTTGTTTATATTAAAAAAGTAGTTTATTTGTCCATCGAAAACATTTTAAAAGGCAATCCAATCTGAAGTATTAATACCTAAACATATTAATTCTACAGTCATTTTGTGTTATTTAGATGTAAAAGATCAGTAATCAATTCATTTTCACTCAAAAATTTTCGAAAAAAGAGGATAAAAAAATTTGAAAAATGGTGGTTTCAGGGCGCGACCACCGCACGTAAAAGGGTTAAAAAATGCTTGGCATAATTTATGGCCAGCTACCACATTTCATGGGAAGGATGAAGAAAGTGATAGTCGCAAATTCGAAGGTTGTTGGATATTGCACACTAAAGGTGAAATTTTCCATTTAATGTATTTTGTAAAGAAATGTGGAGAGGCGGTAATAAAGGAAGATTATAACAGATTTTCTTTGCAATGACAGTGCCCCAATTATGAATCCACTAACGGATGGCAAAACCTGTAATATGCATATTTTCTGGTTCTAGATTCAGAAAATGCACTACCGCTAGTGAAGAAGGTGACAGAAAGGTTATTGAAAACGAAACATTTTCGATTGAGAAGTTGGTCGGAATTCTTGACATAGCAATTACAGGACTTGAACAATGGAACTTTATGACTGAACAAGGAATTATGTCTGTCTGCAGAATTAAAAGAGAAAGTATTAGCATAAAAAACGAAGCAACTGAGACAATTTGCATTAAAAGAAATGTTTAAAAAAATAAACAAATAAATATTTTTATTTTGATACCCTTTAGATCAAAAATGCTTCATTGTTTCATAAATCACGATTTCATATTTTTAATTTTATAATTTCTAATCTAATAAGATATCATGTAGACTAATTATCCAATATCCGAAAAAATTCCCAAATCCGGAATTGCCGAAGTCCCGACGAGTCCGAATCTCGGACCTTGTAGTGTAATAGTAACAGTGAAGAATCTGCATAAATTTTACACATTTTCAGTTAGGGCCATTTTATCTATTTATTTATTGAACTCTCAAATATAACTGTGTTATTAAGAACTTGAGGCTTAAACTGTGTGTATGAAGAGCTTTTTGCAAAAATGATAAACAGAAATAGGCATTTTGATATGTGTAAGGCTGTTTATTGGAATATTTTTCTTAAACTTATATCTTAAATATAATTATCTGTGTAATTTTTTAAATATTATAGTGCATTCTATAAATATATTTGCGCTTTGGGGAAAATTATAAGAACAGCTATAGCAACTTGTATAATTTGAATGATTTTACAGTAAGAACATGAACAAGATTTTTAAATTTATCATGTTTAACATATTTTTAAAATATATAGAATTGCCTGTCTGTTGAAAATAATAAAAACTAGGAAATGTGATATAAAGTGGGGAAGGAAAAGTTGGGAGTTTTTGCTGTGTATTAGATTGTTCAGGAGTTCTGTAGACAAGTATGTTCACGATGAGTAATGCCTTGAATAGTACAGCTCATGTAGTGTGCGAAGTATCACTGCAGTGATGCAAGTCATACATTCTATTGTGCATATAAGTGAGTGCATACATGCTATAAGTGATGCATACATTCTATTGATTTAAATTGAGAGAATATGCATGCCATTCCATTCACTTCATCCCTTCACCTTCAAGATAGTCTGTCACTACTGCAGCATGATGAGGTGAGCATTATTGTCTGTTAGGAAGACATTATTACTGATTACGTCCCCAAACAACTGGGCATAAAGATCAAGAACCTTCTCTATGTGCATTTTAGCTTTTATGATTGCACTGGTAAAATTGTGTAGGTTGGTGTGGCAATACAGAATGATGCCTGCCTAGACCACGATTCCACCACTTTTATACCCATGCCTTTCTGGAATTTTTTAGGCTTATTGCATGTGTTTTGCTACTTACAGGTAGAATCATATATAATCATTTGCCAAGCAAAAACAGGATTCATCAGTAAAGAGAACTCTAGTCAATAATATTCCAATCATGGTAATCTCTGCATCATTGCAATCAGGCACATTTTGTAACCTTAGTTACTAAGACATTAATTATGAGTTTCCTTGCATATAACCCTCTTTTTGTTTGATTATAGCAATTGTAGCCAAATAGCGATCCTGAGGGTCTGTTGTGGCACCTTTTCGACTTTCACCATTTGTCACTTGTTTCTCTGCATACATCACCAGTGTCTTTAAATCATTTCCATATTTTTAAGACACTGTCGGCTATTTTTAACTTTTTACTGACCTGTGTCAATATCAATTCTGCATTTATTCTCACAATCACATACCATTTCTCACAATTCATCAGATGTCTTTTGATGATATATTCTATCATCTATGTGCAGAAATTTTATCTAACTGATAGTACATTCTTTAAAATTAGAATTTAAAGCACCCCTGGCACTTTTTCCCACATGCCAAGAGAATGAGTACAAAAATTTGCATATTTCTGTGAAGCAAAGGTGAATCCTATTGAATTACATGAAAACATTGACCTTGAGCTACTGACCAACACTTCATGAAATAGAATTAACATAAAGCACTTTTTTATAGTTGTTAATTTAATTTTCTCCACTAGCATATTTATGCATTGCAAATTTTGTTTCTGCTAATTAAACCAATTAGTACTTTGGAAGTTTTTATCTTAATGACTGACAGAACTGTTTTAAATTAGTTAAAGGATCTGAAAATTGATGGTGATTATAGCTGCTTGTCTGTTGTTGACTTGGGGTCTGAAAATGTGAAGGAAGATAAACTTGAATGCTTAGATGTGAAATATGAAAATATAAGATGTGCTATTGCAGGTAATTATATGAAATCTTGTATATTTCGAACAAGTTTTCTGTAATTAAGTCAAAAGTTTTTTTTTTTTTTTTTCTGAGGGGGTTATAAAATCATATGTGTAATTCGAAAACAATATTATATTATATATTTGCTTTGCATTTTATTGAATAAAATATTTATATAACACATGAAGTATAAATAATATGTTTCTGAAATGTATAATCTTTTTAAATAAAAGATTAAATTATTAGCAAGTATCTCATTCTGTTAGTGAATAAATTTTTTTTACTTATTTATACAAATATATTTTATTAAGATTGTTAACATGCTATTTAATATGTCTTAATTTATCTTAAAATTATTCTGTTAGTAATAGACCTTAGATCTCAAGGCAGATTAATTTGCAACATTAAAAAATAGTAATGTTAAACATTTAATGTTATGAATTATGATTCACAGTATTTTAGAAGCAAAAATAAAATTGTTTCTGTGAGGTTATGTGATCTTCTTATCCAGCAGCAGTTAGGTTGCCAAATTAAATACTGCTTTTATAAAGTAAGACTTTAAGAATATGATGATTGCTTATGCTGTCTGTTGTTTACACAATAGTGCCAACAAAGAATTCATTCAATAATCAGTTAGTATGAGAAATTAGAAAGCACTGCAAAGAAAGTTTGAATTTTCTGGGAAAAAGGATTAAAGCATTTTAAAAATATTAACATTAATAAATATTTATTCTGAAAGGGTAATTTAAACATCTATTTACATAGAATTTCAAAACCATGCATAAAAGTATGTTGCTCATCAAAATTAAAAGATATTGACAAATAAAGCCTAACTCTTATTTATTTAAAAATGATTACTACAAGAGCAAATTTGCATACATTTATTGTACAAAAGCATTAGCTAGTTTTCCAGTTGATAAATATCCAAAATTGAATTTAAAGTCAAATTTATGGAAATTAAGAAAAAAGGGGGGAGGAAGACCCTCTCCTATTTAGTAAAATCTCTTGGTCAATAGTATTCCTAAATTAGTCTCACACGGAGTTTCAAGACTTTGTTCACATACCTGTGACCAATTATAGTACTTCTATCAAAGACATGCAACTTGGAGTAGCTATTTTTAATGATTCCTCCCTGAGGCATGAGACTGTTCCATGGAAACAGGATCGTTCATGAATAAAGAAAGCAAGTAGTGTGTTTCTTGGTTCCTTCAGATTGACATATATCAAGAATCACAGTTTAGGTTGTATCTGGACTTGCTAGTAAACAGCACAAGTTCTCTTTCTCTGGACTGTGTTAAACATGATGACAACACTACTCTTAATGAGCCCATTTGGAAGATGAAATGAGTGTGGTAAACCATTGTTCTCACATAAAGTCCAATCTTGTAAAGACTGTATGTATTAGTAGAAGACTGATTCGAGTTTCCATATCACCCTAAAGTTTTTAAACCAGCTTTCTTGTAGTCACTTAATATTTTCTTCAACAGGGTTAGGAAATACTCTTTGAGTGCGCTTATTGCTCTTGGCCAGGCTATCTGTGACCAAGCTGTCTATTAACTAATTCACTACTTGGAAAGTAATGTCAAGTTTTTGATATGATGGATATTCAGTTTTTGGGCAACCTCTATTGTTATTTGCCCTTTCTTGTGTTTACCAACTAACCATTTTTGCCCTTACCTTGGGTAATGCATATGAGTAGCCAATAATGATTTTTCTGAGAAACTGAATTAAATTCAAATAACATTGCACACCTGAATTCCAATATGTGTCTATTGAACAGTGCATTGTCAGTTGTTAATTTGCATATTTTTGTACTAAAATATATGTAGAAGCCCAGTTTTGCATTCATTTGCAGATATTTAACATAAATAATTATGGTATTGTGCATTGGTTGAAAATTTTAATCAATGAGCTTATCTTTTGAGACAGTCCTTTAATTGTGCTGAGCAATGTATAATAAGTATGTATAAATCAAAACAACGTAAAATATGCTATCATTGAAATTATTATAATTAATTGTAATGTTAAAATAAATAAAAACAAATACAGAATAATTAAAAAAATCTTAATAAAATGGAAAAAGATGGAAGCAAAAGAGTCAAACATGTACACACTAATTAAAAAAAAAAGTTTTTTAAATAAAATTACTGTTGGTATTGTTTCAAACACAGGCTCGAGAGCCATGTATTGCGCGCTCATGTAAAATGTAGAGAATTTGAATTTGTTTAAAGAGATATAGGTTTTTCTCTTGTTGATGGTATGTAGCCATTTTTTTTGGGGGGGGCCTTCAATAAAATTTTCATGCGGTGTTCCATCATTAGAGTTTTCATTGGAGTTCAACAACACACCGTTGAATCATTAGAGTTTCATTGGAGTTCAACAACACACCGTTTACACAGCAGTAATATTAAAATTGGTGGCAGCATTAGGGATTGTTCCTGAGAGTAAATTTAGAAACAGACTTTTTCGCATGTGAACTTGAGTTTTATGTGAGCGGTCAAGACATTCTTCTCTGCACAAGAACGATCTAATTTTGCATGCAAGGACAGTTCGCGTGGTGAATCCTCTTCAGAAAGTGACAATGTGTCAGAAGGGAACACTGGAGGAAGCGTGATCAAGAGCCACAAAATAGTGAAATTTCCCAGAAGAGTTGGAGTATCCAAATTAGTGCCAGGAGAGTCATCGAAGGAGTCTTCAAATTAGTGAGTACCATTTTTGTGATTTTGGAGAAGTTATGCCAGTTATTCGAGACTAGGTTTATTTTGGATACAGCTCTGTTACTGGGGATCAAAAGATTCTGGTAGTTATTGAAAGTTAGTCTTGGGGTTACTGTTGCTAACTGGAATTTGTTTGTTCTATTGTTTTAGTAACTGTTTAAATTATATGAAGTATTGTAACGGTATGCTTCAGAAAAATTTAGTTTTTAAATCAGTCCAGAGTTAGAGGACAGTATTTATATAGTTGAGATAAAGCAGGAAAAGGTTGCCTCTTAATTAGCATTTTTGATATATGTTTTGTATGTAGGCATAGGTATTATCATTTAGTGTTGTAAGGCAATTAGTGTTCAGAACTGTTAGGGTATTATTCAGTTTTGGAGAGATAGACCTATTGTTGTTTTTGTGTTATTGTATTTTGTGGTAGATTATTTTTCTTTAATTTTCCATAATGGGTGACTTTATGAGGAAATTTAATAAAACTCAGGAGTTAGTGGAGGAGTTTGATACAAATGTGTCTCAGGCAAATAGAGTAAGAGAAATTAGGCAGGCTATTCTAAATGCTGAGGACTATAAAGAAGAAGTGGCAAAAGAATACACGGCAAGAATTTTGGCTGCAGCTGAGCAGAAAAAATCAGAAGAAATAGCCGAACAAGAGAGAATAGAAAGGGAACGTGAACAAGAGAGAGCAGAGCAGGAATGGGAGGGAGTTTTCAAATTGGAAAAGTTAAGAGTGATGAATGTGGTTCAGACTAATAGCGTAGCTTCCATGGTTTCGACAGTTGAACAATCTAGAGAAAAAAGGGTTAATTTGAAAGATCTAGTACTGCATTTTGAACCGAGTAATATAGATATTTCATATTCTTTATGCTATTTGACAAATTAGGGGAAACTGTATTGGTGAAACAGCCTTTGGACACGGAACGTAAATCTTTACTTTTGGCGAAAGTCACCATTGAGGGTGATTTTGGTGTGGTCACCACAAAGGCAGCGGTTACTCCAGTACAGTTAGATAAAGAGTACCATTTGTTAGGAAATAAAACTGCACAGTTGATGGAGGAAATTAGGGAAGGACCGGTTCTCTTGAATGGAGACTCATAGTTAGGTGCATGTGTGCAGGAGTTTAGAGAGAGCTAGTGCAGAAGACTTAGATTCCAGATCAGAAGAAGAGAAAGAGATAGAAATTGAAAGGGTCGTAAATAATAAGCATTCGGAAGAAAGGAAGTTAAATAGTAATACGGAGGAGGCCATTAAAATTCCAGACATCACTTTAGAAGAAAGGTCTATCCTTGCGGAAGTGTCGCCAGCAGAATTCTCGGAAGCACAAAAAACTTGCGCTACTTTAGCGGCCCTGTGGAAGAAAGGGGAAAGTGAAAATGAAAAAGAGTTTATAATTGTCAAGGAAAGACTATTCATAGTAGCAGGTTCTAAAAAAGGGGAAGATAAGTGTCAGCTGTGTATGCCTCTCGTTTTTAGGAAACGGATCTTGAAGTTATGCCACGAGAAAATTTCTGGTCATTTAGGGGTTACAAAAACCAAGGATAGAGTTTTGACACACCATTTCTAGCCTAATTGTTACCAGAAAATTGAAGAATTTGTGAGGACGTGCAATATTTGCCAGAGTGTAGGTCACATTAGGAATAAAAAGAAAGCTCCAATGAAGATTGTGCCCACTATATCAGAAGTGGATATAAATATTGATGCAGTAGGACCTCTGATCCCTAGTTCACGTGAAAACAAATACTTAATTACGTTTATTCGTGTTGCTTCCAAATAGCCCAATGCCAGTCCTGTACAGAATTTAAGCTTTAAAAGTGTGATTCAAGCCTTGATACAAATAATTTCTAGATCAGGTTACGCTAAAGGAATTCAGTGTGATTTTGGTAGATCGTTTACCAGTGAACTTACATCTGAGTTTTTTAACAAGTTTGGAATTAAGGTATATCATTCTTCTGTATGTCACCCTCAAAGCAATTCGGTTGAAAGGTTGCATTCTACCTTGAAAAGGGTATTGAAGGCTTTGTGTTTGGAAAATGAGAAAGACTGGAAAGTAACCAGAGTGATTTCCGAAACCAAATATACTGTAGTGATTCTGGTTAAGCGTAACAGTGATACCATTTATCGTGGAAGTTTAATTGAATCTTATCATCATGAGTTTGTGAATCTGATGATGGAGGAGGTTGTAGAGGATATCGAAAGAGAAGTTGATATTCTTTATCCTTTGGCTGATCCAACGCAGGTGGGTTTGAGGAAATGGATAATTCCTGTAAATGATTTTTGTAGTATTTTTGAATTATATTT